ATTGGTGGCCACCCTTACTCTTGTTCTTGCTGCATAAAACTTTATTTTCTTCAAAATTTCCTATGCTTATATAAACCTTGTCCTCTTACTCAAAATCGCTCAACTCGATTTGAGATCTGTCACTTACAATTGGGCTTGTGCCCGAAGTTGGGTAAGGATCGAGTTCGAGCTAAATTGCCTAATTTCTATAGTAAATCGGACGATTAATCAGCATAAATCTGGAATCGCATGATATTTTAGGGAAAATGAGGTAATTCTCCGTTTACGCATATGAAAACCCGAGACGACCATTCTTTTTCGAAGGAAATAGCCAACCTACGTTTTTGCTCGATTCTTCTTTATTTCTGCTCATTTAGTCATTTATCACTAAAAAAATACTGTATAGTCATAATCATTTCAAGCCCGTTTATAAAAAAGAAAAAATTACAAATAACTCTCAATAGTAGACTTCCTGTCCAACCTACCCCAACAAAAAAATTTCTCACTTTTTACCTCCAATTTAATTTTTTAACAAATACCCTCAAGTCCTAAAAAAGGTAAAATGAAGAATAAAATAGCCTCTATAAAGCATACGGTCGAACATAAAATGGGGGCAATCTGACACTTTGCTTCTGAAAAGCATGTGGTCTAGTACAAAAATAGGATTGTCTGGCATTTTGCTTCTGAAAAATATGCGGTACACAAAATAGAGTCGGTCTAGTACTTCAGGCATGCGGTCCGACACAAAATGAGGTTGGTCCAGCATTTTGGGCTTCTGAAAAGCATACAGTCTGACACAAAATAAGTGTGGTACGGCGCTTTGGACATGTCGTCCAGCACAAAACGGGAGCGGTCCAACACTATAGATATTTACGTCAAAAAACATGATTTTTTTTTACTACATTTTTTTTTTTTTGTTTTTGGTAAGTTAAAGTCGTAAAAGTCAAGACCATTCTCACTCTTTACTTTCGTAACTGTGCCACCATACTCACACATCCCACTCAACCAGTGTTAATCGGATGGGCAGTTTGGATGTGAGATGGTTCAGCGTGTACCCTTTTCACACCTGCAGTGCACACCCACTTATTAAAACGCGTTGAAATTGTTGCAAGTAATAATGATTTATAAATTAAATGGTTTATAAATAGAGCTCTCTTTTATAAACAATGATTTATAAATTAAATGGTTTATAAATAACGCTCTCTTTTATATACAATGACATGCAAATTAAATGCTCTAAATCTTCTCTCTCTTATGGAATCTCTCCTAGGCAATGACATTTATAAAATGAAGGGTTTAGTTTCGATAGAGCCGAGGCTCTAAACAATCAAATTCAAATTTGAGCCTACCTTCAAATACTATCAAAAAATATGGTTTTAATATTAAATTTTTTTGTAATAGTCTTAAAATATATTTTTATTTTTAATTATAAAATTTAAAATTTCAAAAATACTGTAGATCAAGTAGATCTATGAAAACTTAAAAATCATGAAAATTGACTGTCAAAAAACGCGTTACAAGATATACTATTTTCAAAACTTGACATCCATTTTTTTCTCATGTCCATGCATCTTCATATCAAGATGATCAATTTGATGATATTTGGATATCAAAACAACTTCTTCTAGTAAAATTTTTGAGGTAGGCCCTAATTTGATTGTTTAGAGCCTAGGCTCGATATAAACTTTTTCCTAAAATGAAATGGTCTATAATTTTTTTTAGATTGCTTATATTTATTTATTTTTATAATATACACAAATAAAGTACATATAATTAACTTTTAATTACATATAATTACAAAAATAAAATTACATATAAAAATTTATAAGAATTAACATAATTATATAAAATGGTTGTTTATTTATGTTAATAACTTAATATAATTATGTTAAACTTATGTTGGTAATATATATTAAAATTATTTTTAAATTATATGGAAATGCTTTTTAATATTTAAAATTATTTTTATGTAATATTATAATACTATATTATAATTAATAATTATACATATATCCAGAAAGGAAAACAACGTCTCAATGTTTACCTATTTTTACAAAGTAATGAAAGTACATAATGCATCACTCCCAATTTTTTTTAGAAACTAAGAGAACATTATTTTTAGATATTTATAGTGATTTTTTGAAAAAAACATTGAAACAAAAATTTTTTATTCGGCTATCTAATCCAATCCACCGATTCCCCAATCCGACACGGATATGAGTGTGACCGATTCGAGTCACCATCCATTTTTTAAAATCTCGATTTCAAGCTTGTCTACAAGATTTAACATGCTCTTTTTTTGGATCTAAGCACCTGTTTCACAAAATAAAAAAGAATAAATATTTGAAGTTTTTTAATGAAATGATCGATTTAATCTTTGTGTTTGTTTCCATGTTTAAGAACTCTGCTTGAGCCATGGACTTGGCCATCGCCCAAGCTGAATTATTGGGGCAACTTCAACCGGACTCGCTTCAGTCATGTATAGAGCCCAAAAAGTATTAAAAAATAATAAAAACATAAAGTCAAACAAAACAAAAAACAACACCAAAAGTCCAAAAAATTTTATAAAATATGGATTTAAAAAACTTGATTTATAGTTGGAGACATTTCAAAAAAATCCAAAAAAAAAATATATATATATATTAAAAAAAGAAAATATACGAAAGAGAATCTTACAAATCATTGTCAAGAACATCTAAATTACAAAGAAAAAAGTACACATTGGTCTCACTTTTTAATTTTTTTTTTTTTTTTTTTTTATCATTTTGTATCCACCGCAAGTTTTCCCCCAGGGTACTGAGCTCGAGCAAACTGAAAAGTTGACTTTTTATATATTGTTTCTTAAACATGATTTTTGAAATGTTTTTTAAATCAAATTGTTTCTTTATGTTTTATTTTTTTATTGGATCTGGAATATATATATATATATATATATATATATATAAAAATGGGTGCTGTTCGTATAGAGCGGAAGCTCTAAACAATTAAAGTAAAGCGCACCTTCAAATATTGTCGAGAAATGAGATTTCAATACTGAAAATCTTTGTGATAGCCTTAAAATATATTTTCATCATTAATTATAAAATTTAAAGCTTTAAAATAGGGTAGATCGAGCACATATATGAAAACTTGAAAATCTTGAAAATTGACGGTCCAAAAATATGTTATAAGATGCATTATTTCCAAAACTTGAAATTCATTTTTTTTCTTTTGTCCATGAACCTTGATGTTGAGATGATCAATTTGAGGATATTTGGGCATCAAAACAACCTATTCTAGTGAAATTTTTTAGGTGAGCTCTAAAGTGATTGTTTAGAGCCTCGGCTCTGTATAAACTTTTTCCTTTAAAAATAGTTTCACCTTCGAGTAGAAGGATTGAAAATCTAGGGGGGGGTAAAGGCTCTCTAAGTTTACCAAGTACAAAAATTTGATTGTGAACCGTGTTGAGTTCACTGAAGACCATTTAAATAATCCTCCATGGTTTGATCCTCCAAACCATGGTCCAAAGTGGCAAACGTCGATGATTTGATCCTCCAAAACCAAGGTATGAAAGTGGCATCCAAAGGTGCCCTTGGTTCTCTAACTCTCTATGCATATTTGTTTTTCTCATCCATGGTTTAATTCTTCAATTCATGTTTTGAAGCTACATCCAAATATGCTCTCTCTCTCTCTCTCT